CCCTCGAATCCGATACCTTAAATTGCTGATCGAGCGGTTAATTCACCATGTTGCAAGTACAATGACGTGGTCGGTGAGCGCCTCACGATTGCGCAATGGCCTGATGGGCGGGCATATTTTGTTTCAAGAGCAGAAACAACCGCGGGGTAAAGAGGGGCTCATCTTCGGCAGTCTTGCGCAACCCAAGACTGGGATCGGATTATTCTGCGGTTGGAGGCTGCGGTAGGAACAGTATACACACTCCGCAGAGCCGCGCAGAAAGTTTTGTTTGCATGCTGTCAAGTGGGGTCCCACCATGTCTATCAGGGTTTTCATGACCCTGAATTGCAATCTGTATTGGCCTGAACGGAAACAAGGGACACCCAACGAAGGGGAAGTGCTAATTGTCCTCGCCACAATAGACTAATCGTCCTCGCCCTTACCACTTAGCGCCGGGTACCCCGGCCGCCTAGCAAATTAGTAGCAAGCTAAGGTAGCACTAACTGTATCGTGCTTTTAAAACGTATTAGATAGAAAATATCTAGTAAGGAAAAATTCTAGGTGTACGTGTAAAGTAGACTAGCAGTAAAAAATAAGTAGTAGTAAGGCTATTTAACCTAATATATAAATATTATATAGTAATAGGATCCTACTAAAACACGCCTAAATATCTAATTTCTTATTACTTAAATATATTGCCCCTAACCTAACTAATATTACCTACTACTATAGAGTTAGCAGGCTCTATTAAGCCTATAGAGCTACTATTACCTGCTACCTTAGAGGACTTACTAGAGTCCTCTACTAAGGATTCTAATATTAAGGAGCCTAATCTATCTTACTAATATAAGTAGGAAGATAAGGAGTCTAATTTAGAAGTCCTGTTAGATACTAAGCCTAAATCTAAGTTAGAATCTAAGCTAGACATTCTAGTTAAAGCTATAGTTATTTAGCCTAGCCCTTAACAAGGCCCTTACCTGCGCTATAAGTAATACTAGCCTTGCTAGATTAAGCATAGAGTACTGCGTAGTAAGGTTAGTAAAGAAGTCTATAATCTTACTAACCTCTAGGAGCTATTAAATTATAAGCGTAACTATCTCCTGCTGCTAGAAGCTATATATAATAGCTTTAATAAGGCTATCTAAGCTATAAATAAGTAGGTAAAGTCCTATAGGGTAGCCTATAATAAGTAGTAGTAGTAGAAGAAGGGGCGTTATTAGCTTCTTATAGTGTGTAATTAGTAAGGAGGCAAGCCTAAGGTAGGTGTAGTAAGGGTTTAGGTAAGGGCAGGCGCTAGCACTATATAGTATAACTGCAAAATAAAGTTTTAGATTATAGTAGATAACTATTAGGATCTTAGTAGTTAGTAGCAAGTTAAATAGGTAGAGGATAAGCTAAGTATTACCTATAATTACCTACTAGTTTCTAACCTATATATAATAGCGCGGTACTAACAGGCAACATGTTTAGCTAAAATAGGTGCTAAACTCTAGAGCGTGTTTAAGATAGCGCGCAGTTCTAAACAAGCGCTTCTATTAATACAGGAAAGGTATCCTAACGCGTATTTTTCGCGCAAAGATATTTAGAACAAGTATTACAAGTTCTAGGTAGCTAGAATAAGTAGCTAGACGCGGGTAGAGGCGTTAGTAGAGGAGATAAATAAGGGAAACTATTAGTATTAGTAAGTAGTATTTTAATATTTCTTATAGTATTATAATCTATAAAAAATATTTCCCCCTAAGCTAGGCTTCTTTAAGGACACACTAGTCTTACTAAGGTTAGACTGCGTCCATGCTTTAGAATTTCTGCTGCTAATTTAGAACACTAAAACTTTTAGTTATAGTATTAACGTGGATAGCTATATTACCTCTATTATATTTTTCTATCCTAACTCTATTTAGCTATTCTAGGAGTCGCCTAATATCCTCCTTATTAACTGCACCTTTAAGACAAACAAATACTGCTTTCCTCTTATTAATTTTATTAGCTTAGGTAGTAATAACAAGACAATCTAGCTTAGGGTAGTAATAATCCACAACTAAGATAAGGCTATATTCTTATAGGTGCTCTAAAACCTCTATAAGCTCCTTAACTCCTATAGTATTACAGTATAATTTTAGGCTATTAATTATAATCTAGTATTTCTAAATGCGTTAGATTAGGTATTTAACACACCTAGAGTTATTATCTACTAGTAGTATATAAATAAGGATATTCTATTATATCTATAGTTAAAAGTTTTAGTAGAGTTTAGGCAGCGTTACAAGGGTCGCACCTAGGTTAATAATAACAGCACCACTAAATATTTGCAGCTATACTACAACCTTATTGCCTTACCTACTAAAGCTAACTATTTAGCT